TTTTTAATGACTGCAAGGAAAAAAAGTAACAGGCTCTAATTCCTATTGTAACTCTTGAATTTCTTTCTAGATTGTGTGTAGTTAAAAGTAGACCTTTTAACTCCCTGCAGGGCTGGCATTGAAGTCTTTGTCTTGAAATTTGAAGAGGAGGTTCTTGTAATGACGTGTAGCATTCCCAGATTTTTATATTTTTGATGTTAAGGTTGCTCAGTGCAAGAAAGAAGGAAACAATTGGTAAATGTAGTTGTTTACCACTTAACCAGTGTTGTTTACCACTTAGCCTCTTTTGAAAAGACAGGATTTTGTCTATTTAATTTTCCTAAAATGACTCATAAGTTGTTCTTCCTTTTTAACCATCCTTTTCTCCCTCTTCTGCTCTCTCCAGAAAATAATTTATATATCGTGCTTCTTGTACTCATCTGGCCTAGCAGTGTCTCAGTCATTCCTGTAAACATTGATTATAGTTTTTCATATGACCATTGCCAATACACAGCCCAAATATCTTATTGAAAGCGTGCTGCTGCAAGTGCTGCTTGGATTCTTTCAGTGAACTCTGCCTCAAAATAATTGTCTCAAACTCAAGCTGAATTTCTGAGTTATCATAGGATTAAAAAAACATCATTGAGTAATACTGTAGAACACGGAAAATGATGATTCTACGAATACTAGAAAATTAGTTTGGAATCCTTTGTGGATGCTGGCAATTTCTCCAGTGTAGAATGTGCTTTAAAAAAGTAGAGAAATGAGTGTCTAGAGTGTGTTTTAAGAATGTTCGATTATGAAAGAAGGAATTTTCTGACCTAGGTCAAAGCTTTTAGGACAGATTGTTTCCTTATGAGCATTTTTAAACAATGGTTATGTTATTAAGACTCTTGGCAAAAAGTCAGATCATGGCGGGGGAGGAGGATAGGCACTTGAGGGAAATGTTTTCTGTGTGATCCAGTCAGAAGCTTGCAAGCCCGTTTCGGAGGATGTAGTCAAATAAAATGGGAATTTCCTATTAAAAATGTAGGTCATAAAATTCTTAAAGACTTCTCGGAGTAGTTTCACTGCTGTTTTCCAAATATGACCAATTTAATTCAGTTTAATTGATCAAGACAAGATTCTGGATATGGGAACAAAATTGAGGCCAGAGAGAAGATGAGTAGTCTACTCAATCAGCTTATTCCTCACTTTAACTTAATATGCAAATTTAAGAAATCAATTAACTTTTTTTTTTCGTTTGTTTGGGTGGTTTTTTTTAAATATCATGATTGGTGATCTGTCCCTTAGTAATATACATCAAGACTGGGACACTTTAGTTAATAGGTATGATGCCTTCAAAGAAACGTATCCATTCAAACATTTAGAAGCCAAAATGTCAACAAAGGTGCCTTTTTAATCTGTATGTTGCATTTGTCTCTGTCTCCAGTCTCTGCCTTGTTGTTAATTCCTCTGTCTCCACTTCATCTTCTAATATTGTATTTGTACTACACGCTTATGCATATTATCAAAGCTTTATTCTAGCCTTCAGAAAAATATTTGTGCGAGCTGGATATCAGTGATTTGATCTAATGTGGAATGCGGGGCACTCAAAGAGAAAAATGCCAGGATAATGTTGGTTTTGAGTCAACATGTGATTTCTGAAGTTCAGATTGAGTACTATGTGAGTGTCTTTATTTTTGTTTGGTTGGTTAGAAAAAAGAAAGCACTCTGCAGTTGAATAAATAATCCCCATACTCAAAATTGTTGAGGTGGCATGGTAGTAGCTATGGAGGCATATTGAGTTTTTGAGGGTATACATAGGATGGTCTTAATTGAGGGCATGGAGGCAGGGATTAGGATGTTTGTGTCTAAAATGGGCTGTTCCTGAATATCTCTCAGCATGGTCAAGAGTGAAGATATGTCAGTTCTCTTATTAGAAAGAGCAAGCTGAGAGAATGAAACCTGGTTTTGATGTCTACCTCTGCCAGGTGTGATCTCTACTAACCTTTTGGACCCTCATCTAAAAGGAGATATGATGCCAATCTGCCTTCTGATGCCGAAAGGAGTAAGAACAGCAGCGACTTGGGGAAAAGGGTAGAAGTGAACTTGTGATCTTTTGTCCTTTGTGCCTCCGTAGGTCTGATTTGGCATGCGAGGAACCATGGGACTAAAATGACTGGAATTCAGCAGTCTTGCTTTAATGTCTTTCATTTAAGTAGAGACTGTAAGCGTGTCTATATACAACCATATAGAAAAGATCTAAAAGTTTATAACTCAAAGGTAATTGGTAACTGTTAACTTCCAAGTTTGTGAATGCTGTATTTTCCAAAATGAGACCCAAGCAAATCTCAAAAAAAAGAGTGCTTGTGGCTTTCTTCCATGAGTGCTTGAGATGACTTGATATAAAGTTTTCACATTAATTTTTCATAAAACATGCCTATTTTTAGTAGACAACATGGTAAAAGCTGTTTGTTTTGATGTTTTTTTTTCTTTGAAGATTCATTTGTGATTTGTGAAATCCACTATTTATGGTAAAGCAAGGCTGATAAAAAAAAAATGTTAATAGTCTTAAAGTACTATACTAATAGAACATGTTTTGGTGTTTGTGAGGGTTTTGTATGCCTAGGCAGTGGGAGGCTATGTGTGCTTACAGCCACGGTATAACCAGTGCATATATGCAAAATACTTACAGGCAGTCTTTTTCTAGATGAAACTACATTTAGAAAATGCTGCTAGAACCTCAGTATTGCATTATTTTCGACAACAATTCGGAACTAAATTTATGGTGTCAGCTTTTTTTAAGAACTAAGGTGATGTCCCCTTTAGGTGTTATGACTTGGCACGCTGCTGAGCAGTCTTGCTGAGCAAGAAGGTGTGTGGGAGCGTTAATATTCTCCTTTGGTCACCTCGTACACTTAGCCCTACGTGTGAAGACAAAATATGTTGTTGCTGTATCACCTCAAGGCAAATATTAAGCAGGTGCTACCAGTTTGGTGTTCTAGGGATTCTTGAACCCAGTGGCTGCCTTTAAAATGTGTGAGTGAAAACAGGCCAAGGAGGAAGCAGGGTACTGTGCTTTATTGGTGGTGGAGTAGGGGGATTCATCTGCTTGATTTCTGCTAGTGTCCAAGGAGCCTCAAAGGGTACGTGCAGCTTCATGATGCTCTACAGGTGGGTACTGTGATTGTGGGAAGAAAATCAGATCAGTTATGTGGGCAATGCAGGGAGGTATGGATATAATGTTGGAAGAAACCAGGACAGATGAAGGTTAAAACCTTCTTTGGGTCAAATTTTATTTCTGTAATTTGTACATAAAGATGTCTTTATCTAAACTGCTAGTTATCTTACTGGCTGATAAGTAAGCTTCAAACATAAACTGACAGTTGTCCAAGTGTGCCGGTTACATAGTGGGAGCATAGAGGAGAATGCTTTGTGTGGGAACTAATCACAAAAACGGACTTAACTTTTGTATTGTGGAATATTACTCCTGAGGAAATGAGAATAGTTCAGTCTTCTGCTTTCTTATAGTGGACTGGATATAGTACGACTAGGTAGTTGTATAGTATATATACCTGTGAATACTACTATATTAGGTATAGTATATATACTAGTGAATAAGCTGTCTTGGGTGGAAAGAAACTGGACTTAAGACTTCTGTGATTTTTATCATTATCTATTAAAAATACCGTGAATCAGCACGTGCCTAATACTGCAGACACATTTGTGGACAGGTCATGCTAAAGCTATTTCAGTAAGGATAGTTCATCTGGGTTTAAGTTAAAAATTCTTCATTATTTTAAGAATATATGAATTGGGGTTAAACGTATAACTGACTTTTTATTGGGATGCAACAGGGAAGTGTCTGAGCTCTTGGGCACAGGTGCTTTGCCACAGAGGAACTAAACTAGCTAATGTTTTCAGATGTTTTAAGGGATATTTATTCTCAATGCTATTAGAAACAGAGTGAGACATGACAGAGCCAAATATTCTTTCTGAAATTTTCTTCCAAGTTGGAGTTTCTGACAGTTTCTTCCTTCCTCAAACACCCCTCCCTGAGAGTTTCTAACTGGGAGCAAGCATTTTTCTTCATTTTCGGAATTTAGCCTACTCTCCCTACTGTTTACAGTGACCTGCCCAGGACTCTTAAAACAAGACTCCTCACATGTGCCTTTTCCTTCATACTCCTTGTTCTCAGGGTCTTGCTGTTTAGCTGCTCTAACCTCTTCTCCTGCACAATCCCAACTCCTTACCTACAGTATCAGTAGCTGCTAAAGCCTGCTGAGCCTGGCACTTCATTGGTCTTCCTGCCAAAGCTCCAGCTTCTGTTTCTGTCAGGTATTTCAGAAACGCAGGAAACATCTTTATTCATCAAAGAAAAGGAGCCTGAAAGCACAAGAGATGTGCCAGGAAACAAGAATGGATGTATGGTATCAAGTGGTGATGGGCAAAACCGTTTGAAACTTTTCACAGAATCATAGAATCATTTGGTTGCAGGAGACCCTCAAGATCATCGAGTCCAACCATTCACCCTGCACTGTCAGGGTCCCTAAACCATGTTGCTCAACACCAAATCCACATGGTTTTTAAACACCTCCAGGAATGGGGACTCCACCCCCTCCCTGGGCAGCCTGTTCCAATACTTCACAACCCTCTCTGTAAAGAAATTTTTCCTGATATCTAACCTAAATTTCCCCTGGCGCAACTTGAGGCTGTTCCCTCTCGTCCTGTTATTCATAACATGGGAGAAGAGACCGACCCCATCTCCCTACAACTTCCTTTCAGGTAATTGTAGAGAGTGATAAGGTCCCCCCTGAGCCTCCTCTTGTCCAGACTAAACAGTCCCAGCTCCCTCAGCCGCTTCTCATAGCACAAGTTCTCTAAACCCTTCACTAGTTTTGTTGCCCTTCTCTAAACCCACTCCAGCACCTCAACATCCTTCTTGAAGTGAGGGGCCCAAAATCAGACACAGTACTCAAGGTGTGACACGTGCATGAACAAATGCCAGCTCATCCTACCACCGAGTAATTGTGATGCTATTAAATTTGCTGGTCACGAGGTTTGTGTTGCTTCTGGCGGTAGTAAATCTTTCCTTGATAGTCTCCGATAAACAAGAAGTCTGTCTTCCCAGGCTTTCATTTTGCAGGGTGTGAAAAGAGGTGCTAGAAGTTCCTCTTTACTTCAGAGGACATAGGGTATACCTGTCTCTGTGCATCCAGCGTTTCTGCTGTGGAAATTCTCTGGGGGCAGAGTGGAGCAGCACCAGGCAGGGAGGTCGTGGGCTCTGAATGTCCTCCTGGTGCAGGCAGTGTTCCTTCTGCTCTGAGATCAGTGGAAATGATGGTAGAGGCACGATGGGCCTACACGGGCCATGTATTCAGGTGGTGCAGCACGGGGTGCAGGGATTACTTTTGTGGCTGCTGTAACAATCACTGTCAGCATCTGACAACTCTGCAACCGTGTCTTGAGTATGACCTAGTTTCTGGTGCATTGCCTGGTATTAGTGTAGCTCTGAAAGACAGGAAACGGGATTTGTTCCTTCATCGTTTCAGTTAGAAATGAATCATTAAGTACATAATTTTGTTTAGGTACAGTTTGTAGATGAACATAGTAGAAACAAAGACAAATGTTACTACAGGAAGCAGAGTTTAAACTAGGTGTAACACAACTGTGAGCTGGGCATTTAGAATTGATTTTAGTGTGAAATACGTTTCTTCTGTGAAACGTAAGCTTCTTGATTTTCTGTTAGTTTGAGAAAATTTTTTTTTAGGTTTGTCATGCTAACATGGTCCTGGAGCTGAGAATTCAAAGCATGTTGGAATAATGCAGAAGACTGATGATCTTTTCTCAAACCTGTAATTGAAAGACTGATTTAGAAGCTTGTCGATCTCTTAAGTGGCCTCACAGAGGACATAGAACTTTCTCCAATAAGATTAAAGATACTTTCTCTAATTTGTTGGGTATTCAACCCTTCAGGTTACCCATACAAGGAGCAAGGGAAAGGGCAAGAAAAACGCCTGTAGTTCTGGGGTTTTATTCTGAGACTTGAGTACATCTAGACTGCCTGTTTATATTGAAAATGTTTATTATTGCTTTCCTGTAGGAAGTGAAGCAATTCTGGAAACATGCCATTTTGTCTTGTGACTGCTTCTTTTATGGAAGTAATAATTATTTTTAATACTGAAGAAAGGAAGCTATATCCTGTCTTGTGCAATGTTTTGCAATATGGTAGTAGGGAAATATTTCTTACTGTGCTGTTACATGTGAACTAGCATACCTTTATCCAAAACCTAAGAAAGTGAAAACTCTTAAGTAAGTTTCTATGCATACTGGTATGTGCTTATTAAAAGAAAGTATTTGTTTGTGGTAAAGAGTCCTTATTAATAAAAAAAATTCTCTCAGAAGATGGAAATAATTCAAAATAATTATTTGATGTTTTCATTTAATAAACATGGATTGTAAGAGGAGGTTTATATGGGTTCATAGAGAACAAAAAAGATTAATATTCTAGGAGTATCATATTGATGCTCAGAGATTGAGTCAAGAATTGCAGAAACTCTAAACCAGTGTGTAAGGAATTGAGTTTATTTGTAACTGATTGAGTTCTTCCTTTTGAGGGGAAAGGTGAAGCTACTAGAGTCTGCCTGGATAATTGTTAACAACACTAGTATATTATATAGCTGCTTCACCCAGTTGTAAACCTGTTCCAGAGTATATAACACAAGCCTTGTCTCTGCCCATACTGCAAATCTAGTGTATCATAACATGGCAAGAATAACTGCTACAAAGATCTACTAACTTCCTACTGAAGTCTGAAAAGATATGACCAATGCCCTGAAAGTCATATATCCTGAATACAAAGGAAGAGGACAAGGAAAAAGTTTGACTTCATGATGTTTTGACGTTGTGAAAAGTGGACTTAGTTAAGGTGGTCTAATAGACTAATAGGTAGGCTAGGGCAAGGAAAAGGGTGAGCGTAATTTGCATTAATTGGAATTAATAATAGAATTCTTGTAAAGTGATTTTTTTTTTTTTTTAAATTCTAATACAATCTCTCCATTTTTTTCCTACCAGTATCCCCTTATGTTTGGACTGATCCTTGCATTCTGCTGGTGTTCTTTGGTTTGCTGTAGTCGAATTTATATGGGAATGCATTCAATTTTGGTAAGAAAAGAGTCCTACTAAAACTTTTATGTTAATGGTGTTCTGATATCATAAACTTCCATCACAGTTAAGTTTTTACAGTGCAGTAATTGTATATAGATTTTTGGTTTTAGAGTGTCCTACCATATAGGAACAGAATACTTATATTTCTTCAGCAGAGAAATTGATACAATAGCTAAAAGTGGATGTCAAACTTCTGTTAAGATATACTTTTCTTTCATGAAATCCACAGTTGAAAATTAGCTGATGTTTAGTAGCAGTTCTAGTGCAGAAACTGATGACGGCACTAAAGTGTAGACTGTTTTCCTCTACACAGTAGGAATAATTTTGCAGGGTGAGAGAGTGGCTGTTAATGTCCACTCGGGTTCCATGTCAGCTACTCAGAGCGTGTGTGTTTCAGAGTGCCCTACTAAATGGTAGGGTTTTGCTCACCAAGGTTTCTAAGGAACCAAATGGCAAAATGGTCGCCTTCGAAAAACAGACTTATTTATTAAAAAGGCAAAAAAAAATCAAACTGAAACACAAAGGCATGCAACGTAAAAATGGGAAAACAAGAACGCTACAAAATGTTAGTCAAATATAAGACCACTAATAAGGATAACTTAAGAGGTTTTTGAGGATCACTTGCTAGAAGGAGAAGAGCCAACAGACAGAAAACAGTAAGCCTGGTAGTAACCAGTAAAGCTGGTAGATGAACACAGTGTAAACACAGTATGTGAAAATAAGGCTGCTCAGAAAAACTGAATGACGCATTTGCAAAAGTGATTAGGAGACTTCTGAAGTCAGAACCATCTGTGTGGAGGATGACCAGCTGACAGGCCATGTCTTAGAACAAATAGTGATGCATCACATACACTAGGTTATTCAGCAGTTTCATATCTGAGTTCTCTGTAGTGTTTGAGTGAATACAATTAACCATGTGTTACTGTAATATAAATCAAGCATGGTGCCTAAGATGGGGAAAAGTAAGGTGGCAAATATGGCAGAAGGTTGTTGAGGTTGCTTCTGAAATAAGTATCAGTCAATTGTATTAGAGCTTTTATCAAGCATTCAATTAGTAGAGGTGAATAAAAATTATTCATTGAAGATGGAGCAATACAAACACTGCTGACGAAAGTCCCACCTCCTGGCTCATGTGGAAAAGCTGATAAGCATGTGAATGAAGATGATCTGGGTTCTAGTGCTTCGATTTCTGAAAAGCTCTCAACAAATTCCTTCTTAACTAAAGGTGACAAAACTTGCAGATGATTCTGTGCAACTGAGTGATTAACTGGAATTAAATGCTAAATTAAAAAATAAAGTAACCTTTGAATTAAGAAAAGACATTTTAAAAACAATAATAAAACTGAAGAACAAGTGTGAAGCCACCGGAGTTCCCCCTTCCTCTCCTTTAATAATTGGAAACAGTTCTCCGTTCTTGCAGCGTTGTTAATTGCGAAGCCAGAGTAGAAAGCCTGAGCTGCTCTAATGCCGAGCTGCAGTGGTCCTCGACTGCCTCAGCAGCTGTTGCTGCCAGCAGGCCTGCGTGTTGGCACCCAGGCACTGGGATCCGGCGTTGCGCTGGTCCAGGAAACTGACTTGGCACAACTTCCTTAGCTGGGCTGGCTGTGTGCTGGCTGTAGGCTGGAATGGCCCAGTGCTGGGCAAGGTCTACTGCAGCCAGCGGATAGGTGGATCCATAATGTCATTTGATCATGAATCATTTGATCATAGCTTCGTTCGTGTTCATGATCAGTCATGATCTGGTCATGTCCTATTAATAGGTGGTCAAATGCAATTCCTTACTGTATCTTTAACATAAAAAAGATGTGATCTTGTACAGTAAATGAGAAAAGATGGGGTTCCACAAGTCACTTTTAGCAACAGAGCAACTGGGCTTGTCTCCATGCTAATGTAACTTAAATTATTTTTTTAAATAGTTATTACACTGAAACTATATCTTTCTCTCTTCAACAGGACGTTATTGCTGGATTCCTGTATGCTATTCTCATCTTGATTGTCTTCCATCCTGTTGTGGACCTGATTGATAACTTCAACTTAACTTACAAATATGCACCCTTAATTATCATCAGTCTCCATTTAGCCCTGGGCATCTTCTCTTTTACTCTGGACACCTGGAGCACATCACGAGGAGACACAGCTCAGATACTGGGCTGTGGTGCTGGAGTGGCCTGTGGCTCCCACGTTAACTACATCATGGGTCTAAAGCTAGATCCTTCTCCCCATACGTTACCTTTGTCTCTTTCCTCTCTCACCGTGACTGTGTTTGGAAAAGCCATATTGCGATTGCTGATTGGAGTAATAGTTCTGTTGTTGACGAAAGTGGCGATGAAAAAAGCCACTATCCCGCTGGCGTGTAAAATATTTCGCATACCACATGACGATGTACGGAAAGCACGACAACGCATGGAAGTTGAGCTTCCCTATCGCTATATTACGTACGGAACGGTTGGCTTCTCCCTCATGTTTGTTGTTCCTTGCCTCTTCCATTTCATTGGTCTTTCTTGATGCAGTTTTATCACTCTAAATAGGGAGAACAGAGCTGGTTGCTTTTTGAAGGGGTGCACTGGTTTGCTAAGGGGCGGCCAGTGAGCTTGGCTTTAGTGGAGTCTTCACTTTAACAGCAATACGTAGCAGGCAAAGCATTTACAGGACTCTGCGCATCTTTGGGTGTGGTGTGGGGCCCCAAGTCCAGTACCAGTCCACAAGATGTGCTGAACTCTGTAAACGCTATGTCTGGACATTGCTGTAACAAAGTCTGTGCGTGTGAGGCAATGAATGTATTGGGAATGTCTGTCATACTGTACCTGTGTACATTGACATTTTAACAGGTGTGTCTGACAGCTCATCAGACAGCTCCACTCATTGTTTGCCACTTCATAGTAATTTATTCAAGTCCTTGGACCATAGACTGCTAAATTTGCTTTCCTCTATTCCTTCCTGAAGTCCTGCTTCAAGATGTTTCAGCTAATAGGCGTTTCTAACGGACCAAACTTGTAATGAGGTTGAATTTTTCTTAAAAAAAACCCCGACAAACACACAGAAGCCTTTTTCTTTGGCCCCCTCTGCAGAGTAAAATGTCTGGATCGGCAATGGTAGATATCACTAGAGTATATGTGATTCAGGTACTGTATTTTATGGATTAATAACTGTGCCTTCTGTTGCTAAATTAAGAAAGGCCATATATACTGTGATGTAAAAATGCCTGATTTTGTTTAAAATCCTTCATAATTAGGCAGATATTTTTAAATGTTAGATTGTTCACATTGCTGGCATTGTTCAAGTTAACCAGAATATTCAGTTCAGCCTGATCAAAATTGCATAACTGAAATGACTCGGGAATCGTCTTTAAATTCAAGATGATGTAAATGGACAATAATCCCTTTTGTAAGTGTTTTTAGTGTGTATTGTACATTACTGGAAGAGGATATATTTTTCTGGAGATTGTTTATACAGTGGACAGATATTCAAAATTAGTTATCTAAACATATAAACAATAAAAACACCCCATTCTGCAAAGAAATGGGCCTCACTTATTCCAAACTAATTTAGAAGGACCATTGTTTTTAGATATTTACTTAGAAAATATAATCCTTATCCTAGGAAAAAAAACGTATTTTTATGCATTAGCATACTATATTTAAAGGTGGTAATCACTTTTACCCAGTTTAGATAGCTATAAGACAGTATAATCATAAAATTAAATTTTTAATCATTCTGATAGGCAGTTTGTCAGCAGTCAAGACTGTATGGTCAATGCATAAACGGTTTGTGCATATCTAAATTATCCTGAATTTTTATGTACTTCTCAGCTTTTCATGATCCTTTTTCCAGTGATGAGTAGAATATGACCCTTCAACTGCAATTTCATGTGCCTCTTTTGTGTTTTCATTTTGTCTGCGGTTATGTGTTGCCTAATCTGTTTTTTCCATGTCAGGAACTGTCATGTTGCAGTAAGAGCTGTCTTATTGTCTGACCGGACATGAATTACTTAGTTTTGTATTGAACATTTTTTCAGGAAAAACATAATTTGGTTGGGAAGAATAGTGATAGATAGAATACAAAGCTTACACTTTTTGTAAACAGTATTTAGAATTGGATGTTTTTTTTTGTATCGGAGCTCATATCTCCAAACTGTTAATAGGTAAATTAACAAAATTAATTTTGTACCTCTTTCCTCAAAGCAGTCAGAGTTCTGGTACGCCGGCATTAGATGGTGTGAAAAGCAAACTTTGCTGGTGCATTTCTTCAGTGCATTCAGAATGCACCAGTGTGAATGTATTCAAAACTGGTAGTGTGTTAAACAACTTCTGTAGTTGGAGAGACCTTACCGAGTAGAAAACGGTTAGCTTATTTCAGCGCATGTTTCTGGGTTTGATTTTTTGTATCTGTTCCTCTTTTGCAGTTTAATGCTGAATGTGCAGTAAAAGGTGAATTGATTTCTAAAGTTTTGAGGGAGGGATTTCCACTGGTTTGGCTTTGCACACGTTAAATAAATAGCTGGGAGGGAATGTACACAAAATGCCTTATGCTTAAAGCTCTGAGCAAGTGGTGTAATTCCAATTATATTAAATTGGTCGGAGGGCTGGAAATAGTAGGATAACTCTGAAATTTAGGGCATATTCTCCTTAAATATCGTAGCTTTACAGTGCGCCGTGAAAAATGATTAAATGCTAGCACAGAAGAGACAAGTGAGCAAAACTGATTTTTTTTTTTTTTAAGGTACGTATTTGACTTCTAGGAACTTAAAGTTTACAGCATAGGAGTGTTCTTAAAGCTGTCTTTTCTAGCTGTGCTTGCTCTGTTAAACTATTAATGGAAAATAAAATCTACTGTAGAAGCTCTAGGATGGGTGGAAAAAATCATATGCATGTTGGGCTTTCAACAGGCTAAGGAATATTGCACTGTAGTTTATTCTACTGTTACTCATAAATATATATTTTGTATTTTTACACATTACATCGGGTAACTTTGAAAGGTCGTGTTCCTTGTGCCACCTAGTCTAGTACACAGGAAATGTATATCAGAATGTTTATACAGCACCTTTACAACCCTGTTTCCAAGACTGCAACCACTTTACTGAAGTTTACATGAAAAGAGTTTCTGTTCTATTTTCATGTTTTATACGAGGCTAGGTTCAAGAGGGCAGTTTAGCACAAAATACCATGCAATATGGATACTGTTATAAAATAAAGAATCATAGAAATGCAAAAATTTAAAAATCCAACTTAAATATTTTATTTTAGTATATTTTTGTTTGATAATAATCTAAGATTCCTTCAAATCAGGCATGACAAAATAGCAGGTAGAACTGGAGCACTTTCTCTGCCCTAAGCTATTCTAGAGTTGAACATGAAAAATGTTTCTAGTGTGAGAATCAGCTGGTACCAAATTATTTATAAATAAATTTAACATAGCTTTAAAAAGTAGTTAAATGTCTTTTCAGAAGAACAACGCACTTGAGAACTTTCATGAAGTAATGCAAAAACATATTCATATGTCACTGCTAGTGAACTTCCTCGGTTCCAGGTTGTATAGCCCTAAAGAGAGAAATACTACTACTTTATAGAAGCAGATAGAAATACATATTTATTACAGAAAGCTACGAGTGAAACTTGTCTTGATCGGTTACTGTAAGAAATAAAACCCAAAACTAACGGTCACATAGGGTGTAACTTGGCACAAAGTTCTATTTCCAAGAGGCTGAAGAGACTCAAATTAGTCTTAGGCTGCCTTAAACATAGGAGCAGGATTTCTTCTCACCTGGCCCTTAATCGGAACTAACATATGCATTGCATCTTGTGTAAGTTTTAGGATCTATTCTTTTGTAAACAGTTTCCTGTTCCTAAAACAGCTGTTACTTTTGAAGCATTTTTCTCCTGTGTGGTCACCTATGAAGCTCTTCGGTCTCGGATCACGTTTGCCTTACCACTGGCTTACCTTGCAAACTGGGGGGGTGGGAGGGGGGAGGGAAGGGGAAGGTGGAGAAGCTATTTTAAGGTAAATTGGCAAACCAAAGGGAGTTTTATTTTGTTTATTTACTTGGAAATGTTTTTTTTTTTAAGCTCATGTACAACTTTTCTGCTGGGAAAAAACCCCAGAGAGATGCATTTCATTTAAAATGGCACCTCTAAATGTGATATGTGGCTTTTTTGGTGTCGTGGGGTTTTTTTGTGGTTTTTTTTTTTTATTAACCAGAACAGTGTTAAATTGTCTGGATTTTAAAAGCTATGATGTTTTCCTTTGCTACTGTTTTTTTTACTGCTTTCAGTATTTTTTTACTCCATTTCTTGCTTGTTTCCCAGGGACTGTCCTGAACTTTTTGTATGCAATTGCTACTTATGTGAAGATTGTAATGTTGAACTTGTAAATACTTAAGGGCTGTTAGTGGCTGTTAGCTGCTCAAATGCATACAAACAAACCTTGCATGCTGTAAGTAAATACATCTGTTGTGCTAAAAGTTGTTTCTATTTCAGTATTTGCTTTCTCAATACAAAAATGAGATTTTTCACAATACATAAGATATTTAATCATTCAGTGGTATGAAGGGGCATTGCTGTCTAACTCCTGTTAACTTTACTGGGAGTTCTGCACCTAGTTCATTCCGTATTACCTTGAGAATGAACCCTGAAGGTCATGTCCATGCTCTGACGTGCGCACATGGTTTATGTGAAGGGACTTCCTTCTTGGGTGTAAATGCCATATCCTTTTGATATCTGAGAGATTGTTCTTTTTAAAATCCTACTTAGCCCAGTTTTTACAAGACTTTTAAAGGGCTTAACTTGGGAACGGTTTCTTAGTAGCTGGAACTGGCTGTACATTTGCAATGCTTATTTGATGCTTTCCCCTCTGTACCATAATCGTGCTGCATGATGAGATCCCAGAATAATGTCAGTAGATAAAATGATGACAGGAGAATTGATTTCTTGGGGTGTTGTGACTCAACTTATTGTAATTGATTCTTGGGTGGTTTTTTGGTCTAATGTACAATGTTTCTCAGTTACACAATTTACTGCTATATTCTGCAAATGTCTTTGAGGAAAATTTGACGTTTTTGAGGAAGTCTCATTGCATGACTTCATGCCAGAACTTTATTCTAGTGGAAGCTTAAGTGGCCTTTTTGTTTCAGCAAAAATATATAAGCCTATTTTAAAATTTACTGTAAATACCATATTTGTCAAATTGATAGATTCCTTGGGTCGCTAATGTTGTTGTTCTTCCTATGCTACTTCTTGAAACAAAGGCAAACAAAGCTTAATTTGGAAAGAAAGTGTGTGATATTGTGTGGCAGAAAGGATATGGCTCTTCAGGTGTTCTCTAAGAAGTGAATATCACATGCTAGAGTTGAAGCCAGTTTAACTATGCATTCTTTGCACTCCATTCTGCACCAGAAATAATTTGTTGGTAAGAGTCTGTTTAACAAAACAAAGCAATGTGTGCTTGCAGTGCATAATCGGTGACTGTTCCTGTAGGATCAAAAAAGAATAGCGGGTACATACGAGAATGCT